CCGAGCAGGGAGCCCGATGCGGGACTCGATCCCGGGACTCCAGGATCATGACCTGAGCCGAAGGCAGTCGCCCAACCGACTGAGCCACCCAGGCGCCCGGGAAGGGGTTTTCTGATGGGCTCCCCGGTGTTCCCGAGCGAGCAGTGAAGGCGGCGGTAGCCCTTTGCTTTCCCGGCGGGCTGTGAAAACCCCATGCCTGGGCTGGGCCAGGGCTCCCCTCAGGGCTCCCAGACACCGGGGCCTCAAGGGAGCTGCTGGGACACTTGACAGCTCCAGGAAAGGGCCTTGGGACGTCCCTGCGCCCACGTCCCCTCCCCTCACCACCTGCAGGCCCCTCGCCCAGACCATCGCACACCTTCCCCAGCCTTGTGGAGAACCCTGAGACCACCGAGGTCCCTGAGCGCAGAGCGTTAGCCCAGAGGCCTGACTTCGGGCTGGGCCTCCGTGCTGCCCACCCACCCTAACCCCAGCCTGGCCCGGAGTAATTTTCTTTGTTGCGTGCTCGGGCAGCAACTGCTCAGGTTCTGAAAGCCTCCACCGTGGAAGGAACACCTGCAGGAGGCAAGGGGTAAGCTCGGCTGTCACCCCACTGCCCCCGACCCCTCTGAACAGGCTGCCCCCAGAGCTGGTGACCCCCACGGCGATGCCCCCCAGGGACCAGCCTGGTGTAGGGGTGGACACGGGAGCCACCCTCCTGACAGCCAGACCCCGGCTCCTGCGAGAAGGCAGGACAGCCCTGCCTGGCACCGTGGGCCCCCTACGAGGACTCCTGATGCCAGACAGAAGGACCCATGAGCGCCCAGACCAAGGCCCCCACCTGGCAGCTCCCTGTGGCCCTGCAGCACACTCATCACGGACAGAGATTCCCCGCGGACGGAGGCTCCCCGCAGATGGAGACCCCTGGGCCCCACAGGCCTGGCCCCCTGGCCGCCCAGAGGCCCTGCACACTCCGGGGTCCGGTGGGTCTCGGGCTGAGCTCCGTCTGTCTGTCCATCTGTCTGTCTGTCTGGGGCTGAGCTCCTCACACCCGCCGGCCGCTCCGCATGTCCAAGGCCACACTGATGGAGGGACGCGCCCCCAAGCTGCGTTTGGCCGCTGCTACGGGCTCAGAGAGCGAACAGAGGAACACTGAGGCTTGGCTCTCAGGACCACCCCATTCAGCCCACCGGGGGGTCAACCAGCCCTGCTGTGCACGCAGAGGCTCCTCGCAAGCACTGGGTGGGCATGCTTCCCCAGGACCCAGGGCAGATCCCTGACACCGCCAAACCCAGAGGCTCTCCCCTTCTCTACTGAGCGTCGCGTCGATGACAGAATCTCATGGCTGATGACCAGCCTCCCCACAAACCTCTGCGCCCACTCCCCCGCTCCGTGTCCCCAACAACACCGAGCCCGGCCCCTGCCGACCCCTCGGAAGGTTTGATGCGCGCGTGGTGACGGAGGCACACATCACCTGCTTCTTAGGTAAATGCCAGTCACTGACTTCACTCACGAAAACACGAAAACGACGCTGTCCCCACTCCCATTTAGCAGCAGAAACAGGCTCATGGATGAAGCAGCCGGCCAGGGCCAGACAGCCGCTCCGTGACCTGAGCCAGAGCCGCCCGGCCACAGAGACCACGGGCGCCCCACCACCCGCGGGTGGGCTCTGCCCGCCTCCACGGAGCTGCGAGCACAGGCCACTGACCCTGGGGACCTGGGGGTACGGACGAGGGCTCTGCACTCAGCCGCCTCGGCCAGCCAGGGAGGGAGGCAGACAAGTGACTAGAAGGGAGCCCATCCCCTCCCTCCCCACCGTCGGGTTAGCTCCCGTCCGAGGGAGGGCGAGGCCCTGGGCTTCGGGCTGTAGGAAGAGCACACCTCCTCCTAAAGTCAGGAACGCCGCATGTCCTCCTGGGCCTTGTCAGCGAATCCCTGGGCTGTCCTTCTAAAAAGACAGTCAAAGGGCCCTGCAGGCGCGGGGGTCACACAGCCCCATCGAGGAGTCCCGGACCTCAAGCTTCCTCACTGCATGTCCCTGGACACCTGCATAACTTCTCTGAACCTCAGGGCTCTCAGGAGGAGTAGAGGAGCCCGGACGAGGGGTCAGGCGCCACCCAGGGTGGAGGAGCCTGAGCGGGAGGCTGCAACTCAGACCGCCTCTCCGTCTCCCACAAACGCAGGCCAGAGGGCTCAGGGTGGGAATGGGCCATGGCTGCTCTGGAGCCTCACGCAGCCTCCCACCGTCCTGGCCGTGTGGACCGGCCGCGTGGGGCCTCCGTGTTCATTTGCAGGGACGGATCACACAGCCTGCCCGCACAAAGCAGGCGGGAGGCCCAACAGGAAGGATCTGCTGCATGCGCGGTGCCCCGATGTCGCTGGGCACCCTCTCCCCCTGCGGCCCCCGACCCTTCCTGCCCCAGTCCAGGCCGCCACCCCTGGCCAGTGCCGGAGCTGCCGGGAGGATGGGGGGGAAGCTGGGGTCAGGGGCTCTCCTCTGAGGCGTGAGGGGTGCTCTGACCGCAGGCTGCGCCAGGTGCAGGAGGGCGCTGGCTTTTCCTTCACCTGCATCCCGAGACAGGGCGGCCTGACACCACGTCCTCCCTGGTGGGGCCGCACAGTAACTGCTCTGCACCAGGGGGCCGGGCGGGCCGGAGTCACACCTGCGGGGAGCTGTGGACTGCTGCCAGGGACGTGCCCTCGGGAACACAGAGCACGTTCTCCACGGAGAGCCCCTTGGGAGGCGAGGCGGGAGGGGGCAGGACCACCAGACCTGGCGGGGCCACCCCCATAGTTCCCCGTGGTGTCTCAGGGGCCTGCAGCAGACGGACAGCCCCCAACAAGGCACTGAGTGCAGGACTGGAGACCTCGTGACCTGAGGTGGCACGAGGGACCTTGTGGGTGTGAGGAAGGATCTTGGGGTGGGCACGGTCCTGACGCTGTGCGGGGCCGATGCCATCCCAGCGTCCTCAGGAGACAGTCGGAGGACACGTGAGGACAGAAGCAGCGCTCGGCTGGGGTCAGGGGGTCCGAGAGCCAAGGGGCCGAGGCCAGGAAGCCGCCTCCCTCCGAGCCTCCGGAAGGTTCCATCAGGCAGCACCGCGATGTCGGGTTCCTGACGCCCACAGCCAGCGCAAGCTCCCGGCAGTGGGTTCCAGCCCCCGTGGAGCTTGCGGGGTTGGTCACGTCCTGCTGGGAGCTCTGCGCGGATCGCCCCAGGGACCAGCTTGGTTAGGGCCGGAGGCTGAAGCGCACGGGGGCTCGGGCCATCACAGACACGTTTCTGAGCCCGCACAGACAGCCCGGCCGGTCTCCTCAGAAGGGCGGCGGCTCCGACACCCCCTCGTGGAGCACCCACGGGCCCGCACACCCCGCTACCCTCTCCGCTTCTAGGCTGGCCTCTAAAGAGGCAGGAGGCCTTGAGGCCGCACCCACGTGCACACAGCACGCCGGCGCCCATTTCGAGAAGTGCAACTCCGAGCACGCTCTGCTGCGGCGACACACACGGGCGTCTGCGAGGCGGCCAAGGCCCAGCCCCTCCGGAACCGCGGCGGGGAAAGCCCTTCTCTCGGTTTCCCCACTCGCACCTGCACCATCCCCTGGGGGGCTCGCGGCCAAGCAGCCTTCAGGGCAGAGGGCACTGAGGGGCCGACGCCAATTTGAAGGAGGGCCCCACGGACCCCAGGGCGCCTGCTGGGACGAGCAAACACATTTGCTGGAGGAGAGAAAGGGGCTGACTTAAAAAAAAAAAAAGGTCAAGGGTCTCTCAAGGTCAAAACTCTCGTTTGATTCCTTTTTTGTGCTCGTAGCAAGCGCACATGCCCTCGGACGGCGCAGGCCGCTGGGAGGTGGTGACTACCTGACCTCCAGCGCCCCACAAACTCTGCAAAGGGAGGCCCTGAGCGCTGCGCATCGCGGCGCCGTCCCTCCGCCTCCTCCCGCCACGGACAGCAACCCCACCTCAGACAAAGGGTTCGTTTTGCCAGCTCCTTGCGGTGGGATTTCTAGCCAGCGGGAGTTCTTTCTGCAGCTAAATTACATCTTCTCAGCAAGGCTGGTTCCCCCTTCGCAGGAGGGGCTCATTTTAATTTCGGCTTTGGCCGGTGCATAGTGAGCTCCTTTTGCTTTTCACTGCAACAGAAATGAGGTTATTACATGTATCTACTGAGAGAGCAAGCTTCACGTTAAGTCTACAAATACTAGAGACCATATACACATGGAAAGCCACCCTGAGAACAGAGTATCTAGACAAGCTCCACACCGGGGGGCTGGGCGGGCAGGACCCCAGGTTCCTTCTGCACAGCATGAAGGGCAGAGGGCAGCGGGGCCTCGGAGCGTCCGGCAGGTGTCCAAGGCCTCGGGATGGCGGACAGATCACGTCAACAGGACCGGAGGTTCACTGTCCCATGGCCGGCACTAGGACGGAGCGCTGTCCCGACGTGGCTCCGTGGTCCTCACCAAGGTCAGCCCCAGGTCCTATTCCACAGGTGCTGTGGGAAGCACACTGCAGCTGTGACACCGGGGGTGGGCGGGGGGCAGTACGCGTCGACGTGGGACCCAGGCCTCACCAGATGCCTCCACAAGGCGTGGCCACCACGTCCGGGCACAGTTCCGTGCAGATTCGGCTGGCAGGGTCTGCCGGGGCTTCAGGGGACGACCGAGGGTGGGGGCAGCTGGGTGCGGGGTCGGGACGGGGTTCTTCGGGAGGGGGCAGCTGCAGCTCTGAACCAAGGGCCAGATGAACAGGTGGTGGCTTTGGACCCCACTGCTGCTCAGCCCTGCGGACAGCGTGACTCCTTGGCCGCGCTGAGGGGTGGGAGGCGGGTGGGAGGCGGGCGGGAGGCAGAATCCAGGGGCAGACACTGCAGCAACTTCTCAGGCACGGGTACGGGAGAGGGGCAGCAGCAGAGGAAACCGGACCTCTGGTCAGGGTCTGCACTGCCCCACGGAGGGGCGCACCCTGGTCAGCGGCCCCCCACACCCAGACAGGCCCAGGGGACCCCTGACTGGCTCAGAGGCCAGACCCATCACCCACAGCAGCGTGTGCAAGGTGTGCAACACTCACAGACAAGGGCATCTTCATGACACACGGCGGCAGCTTCTCTAGAGTGAGAGCCCATGAGCAGCCAGCATGAACAGGAAGCCGGGCTACGCGCAGCCCTGACGTGAAGGTCGGTCATGGCTGCTCTGAAGGAGACTCGGCGCGGGCGTCCACCAAACCCTCCAGGTCTCCATCAGGAGACAAGGCTGGGCCAAGCACCGGGAAGTGACACAGAGCCTTTCTCAGCACCTACAAACCACCAAGTGTGCAGGCCGGCAGGGAGCGCGCACCCCAGGGGTGAGACTCAGGTTCCACCGCGGCCCCGGTGCCCGTCCTAACACCCCTGTCCACCCAGTGCAAGGGCTGGGGCCCCTGGATTCACCTCATGTGTCTACAATACGAAGATTACAACGATCCTTGAGCCTCCTGCTTTTTACAGAAGGGTTCGAGTCGTGCACTCGACACTGCGATGTTCAGAGGAACGTGGTGCCTTTGGCCTGAGCACTTTGCGGAGTGTGGGGGAGTAGGTGTCCACAGCGGTGAGCCTCCCCTCCAGGAGGGCAGGCGCCCAGCCAGCGTCCCACCTGCGCTCCCTGACGGAACAGAGCTCAACAGGGACGGGGACACACTTCTGACACGGGGTGATGCTGGGCTGCATCTCTAGGAGGAAGCTCCTGGCTGGAAAGGACCCCGCTCTCCCTCCAATTCGTTCATTCATTCTGCTGTCCCTGGCTGAGCCCCCACGGCCCTGTCTCTACCCACCTCCTGACATGGCTTGCTCTGAGGCCATGCCACCATCGCCCCCATGCCCCCCAATCCGGACCCACCAGGAACAGCCACTCTGCTCTTCTGCATCAGCCCCAGGCTCGGGCCTGACCTGCTTGCCCCGCTGCTGGGTCTCAGGGCCTCACGGAGATTACGGCTTCAGTAGGCGAGTGATCCGAGCCTGCGGGCCAGGCTGCAGCTGCAGCCCCAGCAAGTCCGTGCCTGGGCTGCATGCGGTGCTGGGGACACAGGAGGCTCCGTGCACATCCGTGCAGGAGGGCTCACTACCGCGCTGAACATTAACAAAGGTTAATGCCATGAAACTACACAGCACCGAACAGAGCGCTTCCAGAATGCAATGACCGGCTGGGTTTAACCAGGGAGCTTTCCAGCGCTGACTTAGAAGTGTCACTGACAAAAATGGGGTACTGTTCTGATTAAAACAATTTCCTACTTAATTAAGACTTTCAATCCAGTAGTATGGACAAATGACATGCATTTACACGTTTAAAGATAAAATTTTACTGTTTCCCGTTAGAAGAACTCTTAGTAAGCCGCCCTCAGAGATAGCGGCCCAGTGGCAGCGAGCCACGCAGATGACCACAGGTTACACGGGGAAGTTCAGGCTCCTTTGAGGAGGAGTTCTTTCTTTTGAAAGATTTATTTATTTCAGACAGAGGGAGAAAGGAGCGAGCATATGCACACGAGTGGGAGGGCAGAGGGAGAGGGAGAGTCCCAAGTGGATTCGGAGCTGAGCGCGGAGCCCAACGTGGAGGACCCTCAGGACCCTGAGATCACACCTGAGCCAAAATTGAGAGCCAGATGCTTCACCGACTGAGCCACCCTGGTACCCCCTGGGGAGGGGTTTCTTTTTTTTTTTTTTTTAGGCAAAACAAAGAAATTTTTTTTTATTCTTATGTTAATCCCCATACATTACATCATTAGTTTTAGATGTAGTGTTCCATGATTCATTGTTTGTGCATAACACCCAGTGCTCCATGCAGAATGTGCCCTCCTCAATACCCACCACCAGGCTAACCCATCCTCCCACCCCCCTCCCCTCTAGAACCCTCAGTTTGTTTTTCAGAGTCCATCGTCTCTCATGGTTCGTCTACCCCTCCGATTTCCCCTGCTTCATTCTTCCCCTCCTGCTACCTTCTTCTTCTTCTTCTTTTTTTCTTCTTAACATATATTACATTATTTGTTTCAGAGGTACAGATCTGAGATTCAACAGTCTTGCACAATTCACAGCGCTTACCAGAGCACATACCCTGGGGAGGGGTTTCTAACAGGGCTCTGCAGCCCGGGGGAACGCAGGTGGGGGTCCCCGACACGGGGCATCAGAACAAACCCAGGCAGGGATCGGGGAGGACAGAGGGGAGGCCTTTCCCTGAGGATATCTCCCTGTTCAAGTGGTGGACACATCACATCACAGTGCCCTTTCCTTTATGAAATCCAAGATAGTATTAGATGATCCCTCTTATGGGGATGACGACTGAGAGTCTCTGCCTCTGTTTCCTGGCTCGTGATTTTCCTAATGCAAAGCCTCCGGTTCCTAGTTTTTATTTCTGTCCAGATATAAAACCTAGATTACTGGGGCACATACTTCCATTCATCGAATCCTGACCAGCCAGGGGCTGCTGCCTACGCATCTTTCCTCTAAAAGCCCAAATGTATGACAGTAATTGTGGCTTTCGTTCTCCACCCCTACCCTGCCAAGCCCCCAAATGCTGCAGATCTGCACCCGGTGTGAGCCTGGACCGTGCCCTCCTATGAGAAAGCAGCTGCCCACTGCCTCTTTGTTCCGACAGGTGCACAGCTACGAACCACCGACCCAGAAACGGGTAGCTGGTAAACAGGACACAGATCCCAAGCCAAACGAGTGGCCAGCCGGCTGCTGAAAAAACTGAGCTCTGACAAACAAGATGGGTTTTGGCAAGCAGGACAGGAGCTTCCTTTGTCTCTGCTGTAGTCCAGAACCCAAAGTAACCAGCCTGCTGCCACACCTGCTCGTTGAGGGGGAGGCCTCCTCACCTGCTGCTCTGGCCACGCACCTCGTCTGCAGGAGCCGGGCTGGCAGAGCCAGGCAGCCGCAGGAACACCCAGCAAGGCCTGCTTGCAAGGTGGACATAAGTAACTAATTCCCTCTGAAAGCACATGGCCACACTGACATCGCTCCTGGTCCTCAAAGCACTGAACCTTCCAACACGGAGTCTTTAAACACACATGGTGTCATTCCAACTCTGCAGCTTTTAGGCATTGTAGCATTTTTGTGAAACTAAATCACGGCTGCTCTGAAGTAAGGAGACCCCACACGGGCGTCCACTAAACCCTCCAGGTCTCCATCTGGAGAGACGGCTGGGTCACTGTTTATTTGCTTTTCTCTGCCCAGCACTCACACGGGAAGCACCGGGAAGTGACACAGAGCCTTTCTCAGCACCTACAAACCACCAAGTGTGCAGGCCGGCAGGGAGCGCGCACCCCAGGGGTGAGACTAGGGCTCCATCGTGGCCCCCGGTGCCGTGCACACAAGCTGGGAGGGACGAGTCCGCGCTCGGAGAGAGCCGGCTCCCACCCAAGCAGTCCTGACCACATGGCAGGCTTGCCACCCATTGGGGACGCTGCCGTGGAGAGCGAGCTCATTACAGCCGAGACATCAGGAACAGCCAAGATAATTAAAGATGTTTTTCTTTTCCTTCCTCCTCTCCTTAATGGTTTGTGAGGCACTTAGTCCAAAGACACCCCACAGCTGGCTGGGTGCCGAGTGCACTCCCACGCAGCGATTACAGCAGGGTGTCTCAGGGAAACGCAGAGCTTCCACACTGAAGTCTGACTCCAACTCAGACGCTGCTGGGAAACTTTCTTTTCAACTGTTAAACACCCCCTCCCCCAAAAAGTAAGAAGGGAAGGGGAAAGGAAGGAAAGAGAAGAAGAGGGGAGGAGAGAAGGGGAGGGGAGGGAAGGGGAGTAGGGGGCAAACAGGAGAGGAAGGAGAGGAGGGAGGAGGGGGACGATGGAGGGGAGGAGGAGAGGAAAGCAGAGGAAGGAGGGGAAGTCAGGAGAAGGAAGAAAGGGGGAGGGGAGCAGGGAAGCTGGGGAGGGGGAGGGGCTGGAGAGCGGTCTGCGGCCTCCTCTGCACTGAGCATTACTGGACAGCGGGTGGGTGCCTACTGAGCACCTGGGCGAGCATGGGGAGCGAGTGCCCGAGCGCGGCCAGCGCAGCCTGTGTGGCCGAGGAACCGAACTCTATGCTGCATGAACTTCAAGCACCTAAATTTCAACGGGTGCAGGCGGCCAGGGGCCTGTGCGCGGCCGGTGGGGCAGCTCCGAGGGAGAGGGCTCTCCGCTCACAGCCGCCAGCTGCCCTGAAACACTCACCTCTACAAGGAGCTCGCAACAAGTTTTCTTTTTGCTTTCTACGTAAAGTAAAGAAATGGGATCTTCCTCTCCATCCAGAGCTCGTTCCTGTGCTTCCTGAGCCTGCGCTCCCCTCCCAGGGAGGAATGTCAAGGCCAGCTCCGTAAACACGTGGTGACCTCTTCCTGGCTCTGGCCTCTCCCCCTCACGTCGTCCCTGCTCACCCCGCCGTGGTTATGCTGCCGAATCAGGCGGGATCAGCGCTTCAGAAGCCCTCGGAGTCCTGGCCTCCGTCTCAATAAACCAAACCCATCACAGTACACGGTCAGTGACGTGTAAGCAAACACGCGTGTGCACACACATACGTGACGTGTGCGGGTGCAGAGGGAGGATGGAGGGAAACGCCGCGGCATCGGTTTCATTTCCTGATGTCTGAAGAAACCAAGTACCAACTCTGCATGACACAGAACACAACTGTAATGAAACGAAATTCTTCCAGTAATATCTGGTCTTTTAATAGCAGATTTTTCTTCCCAGTGATAATTATGGATCATTGCCAAATAAAGCCAGAAGGCCGCAAAGCCTCCTAAACCAAGAAGCCCCGTCCCTCGCCAGCTACTCTACAGGGCAGCCTGCTCCAGGCCAGGCCGATTCTCCCACGGTGCCGTTCTCGGGCTGTTTACCTCCTCCAACCTCACACTGTAAAGCACGGAGTCCACAGGAGCGGGGCAGACGGGAAGTGTCCTCGCCATCGGGATGCAGACCGTGAAGGACGGCCCGTCACTTCAGCCAGATCCACTTGTCGCCCACGTCCGCGTTGTACCCGGGGCAGTACTTGCGGCCGGGCAGCTGTGGGAGGGAAGGCCATGGTCACAAGGGTTCACAAGGCACTCGAGGCCCCAGCTCGCTGCAGCGGGGGCTCAACGGCATGTCCTGCTGCGAGTGTGAGCGCCCCGCGGGAATAGAGCCCTGCTGGCCCACGTGCGCCCACAACATGCAGCTGCCTGGGGTGGCCTCTGGCCTAGGAAGCAGCACGTCTGTTCTCAGGCTTTGAGGGTCATGATTGGAAAAACCCACTCACACCTGCAGAGAGCGCTGCTCTCAGCAGTGTTCTGGCTGGAAGAGCAAACTGGGGAGAACTCAGGTGAGTTCACGACGGGGCCCTCCGCCCTCCGCCCTCCGCCATCTCTGGGGCAGGTTATGGAAGCGGACAAAGGAGGGCGGTGCACACCAGGCCCCAGCTAAGTGGGAGCTCCCAGGAGCGGGGGGAGGAAGCGGACCGGACCCGGGAGGGCTGTCTGTCGGGGCGGCAATGGGACTGGGAGGACAGAGGTCTCCTGCCGGCCCTCCCACGGGGCCCAGACACCACGCCACGCGGCCACAGGCCCACTCCCACAGGCAAAGGCGTCTGCGGCAAGAGCCAGGGGCCGTGGGCTCTGGTGGCCACAGTGCGGGGCGGGCCTGCGACGGAGCTGCGCACGGCCAGGGAAACACTCGAGCACCCTGTTTTGCCAAGTTACATGAGTGGAACAAAATACTGAATTTACTTCTTCATGTTTTCAAATCAATGTGAATAAACAGATTTGTACATACTACATACAAAAATCTTCCACATTCTGCCCTTAAGTACTAAAGTATTTAAAAAACCAAATCAGTCTCCCCTTCACCTACTCAGCAAGGCAGCCAAGCACAGCCACGGCAAGGGGAGTCGGGGGCTCCGCACGCCACCGCCAACACCGGACGGAGCTCCGACGACTGGCCGGCTTGAGGCCCCGCACCCACGCCCTCTCTCCAGTGCCGTCACGCAGGTGTGCAGGGGGATTCTGTAGCCCGCAGCGGAGGTTGGGCTGCCAGGGGCTGGCGGGGGGCTGAGCCTGTGCATTTCAGAGTGGGGGCTCTGCTTTTTGGGCCCGGGAGACCCTGTTAATGGGGCCATCCACGTGCCAGGAGCATTCTGGGAATCCAAAAGGAAGACAAAAGACGAGACCCAGCTCCCCAGGAGCCCAGAGTCTTGGGGAGAGACTGGCAAGGGGGCAGGCCTCACAGCCCCACGGCCACGGCAGCACCGCAGGAGCCCAGCGGGGGGCGTGTGCGTGCGGCTGCCCGCAGAGAGGGGGGCACTCTGGGGGGGGCAGGCGCCCAGTTTGCTGTGCAGGCTACAGGACACGGCAAGTGTTAGGAAGATGTCAGTTTTTCCGCTCTCTGATCGCAACAAGCGCTTGGGCGTAAGATGGGTGCAGCCGCCGCAGCATGCCCGGGCGAGGGCCACAGGGACTAACACCGTGTCTGGCTTCCTCGGGCCCCGGGAAGCCCTGCGTACCAGAGGAGCAGGCGGAGGGCAGGTGGTGGCCCCAGGGAAGGTGAGCGCCCAGCCTGACCGCGGACACTGCGTGGAGAAGGTGAGGGGCAGTGGGAAAGCTGGGCCTGAGGCTGCAGAGGCAGGGCTGTGCTGAGGATCCATGGGGACGCCGCCAGCACCCAGCAGCCCGGACAGAGGGGACGCCACCCCAACTGATGAGGGTGCCCAGGGAAGAGCGCAGGGAAGATGCATGGAGACGCTGACCTGTGGATGAAGAGGGTCTGGGCAGGGACGGGGCAGCTCGGGGAAGCTGAGACTACGACAACGACTAAGAGCGCGTGTCTGTGCACACAGAGTGGGGGTGACAGAGTCCCTGTGCCAAGGAGGGCAGACTGTGTCAGGCAGAACAATGCCCCAACCCCCAGATCCTGTGCCTGCGAGACCTCACACGGCACAGGGGGCTTTGCGGAGCACATGGATTGTCCACACGGGCCCAGGGTCGGCACAAGGGGCCCATGAGAAGGTCAGACCAGAGGAGGAGATGGGGCCACGGAAGCGGAGGCCAGGTGATGGGGCCACAAACCACAGGGTGCAGGCACCTCCAGAAGCTGGAAGCGGGCAGGAAACAGACCCTCCCCTCAAGTGTCCACGAGGAACACAGCCCTGCCAACACCCTGATCTCCTACTCTCGACCTCCGGAGCCCTGAGACAACACAGGTAAGCAGCTTCCCAGGACACACACAGGGATGCTCTGCCCTTCGTGATGGAGACGCTGGGGCACTTCTGTTCACACTAGGGGGCATGCTGATGGAGAGGCCCCGGCCGCGGGAGACAGTGGGCAACCCGCTGAGAACAGGGTAAGGAGGGAGGGCAGGCCGGAGCGCCCTGGGCTCGCGCCCCCCGCCCCCGCCCGGGGCCCCCATCCAGGAACACCCAGCAAACGGCCGCCACGGCACAACAGCCCCAGCAGGAAAGAGCAGTGTGGCTTTGCAGCGTCCCCACAGTGTGCCCACCAGAAAGGGACTTCTCTTCCTGAAGGACCACCCCCAGCACTGTGTGCAGGGAACAGAGCGCTGACCTGTCAGGGGAAGAGCTCGGGAAGGCTCTCAAACGTCACCCACGCCTGCGGCGAGCCGCTCGACAGCAGCAGTCCCCAGCCTCCGTCAGCGGAGTCCCCAGGGCTCGGAGGTGCCCCAGAGCGCAGCCGAGAGGAAGGGCTGGCGTGCGGCAGCAGCGGGGCTCTGCTCGCGTCTTGGCAGGGTGGATGTTAAGCCACCGAGCAACTGAAGGCAGGCAGACCAGCAGCAGCTGCGCACGACCCCACACACCTGCTCCCGGGACCGCTCGGGCCAGCAGTTCGCGGGCCTCTGATTTCCAGATCCTCAGGGTCCCTTTCCAGCACGTTTAAGCTAACAGGGACCCCAGGGAGGGTTTCCGTTTGGAACATTTCACACCGAGGGAAGACAAAAATAAGCTTTTTCTTTTCCGTTACTTCCTATCCGCATCTGCTCATTTAAATAAACCTGCAAACCACCAAAACCCAGTTCACACCTGTCACGTGAGAGAACATGCCTGCGATATCCTGAGAAGAGAGTGTGTCGCCACCTTCCCACTCAGGAACCATCCCTCCCCGCACACCTGCCTGCAGGTGCGCCGCTGGGGAAAAGGGCCGTCAGCCCGCCCCGTACCTCCTACTCTTCCTCCTTCCCTCCACCAGTTCCCCAGAAGGTGGATGCCGGCCGCCCACACAGACAAGGGCCACCCCCGGTGAGCGCGGCGTTAGCTGGGGGAGCTCTGTGGGATGGGGCTGCCAGGTGCCTCCAGGGCACGGGCCTCCAGCCTTGTGCAGGAGAAATAACCACCTAGTTTATTCAAGCCACAAATATTCTAGCTTGTGTTTTTTGGTTCTCCCAGCTGAACTTACTTCTAATCTTAATTTTTTCCTTCTTGCACAGGAAAATATTTCAGAAGAAATTCTGACTAGTGGAAGGCCCCCTCTTCACTACCTACAGGTTTTCATTCAAAAGCTCTGTGAAGATATTACACCAACGGTTACTTATGAAGTGTTTAGAGGAAGCAGGGGGGTGGGGGAGGGGGAGGATGGGGAGGAAGGAGGAGGAGGGGTGGGGAAGAGGGGGAAGGAGAAAGAGGGGGGAGGAAGGAAGGGGGGAAGGAAAGAAGGAAGGAAGGAAGGGCGGGGGGGAGGAAGGAAGGGGGGAAGGAAAGAAGGAAGGAAGGAAGGGCGGGGGGGAGGAAGGAAGGGGGGAGGAGCAGGAGGAGGGAGGACAGGGACGGGAAGGAGGAGGAGGAGGAGGGGTGCACACACTGAAGTGGCCTGGGCGTGGCTGCAGGTACACAGGGAAGGGAGGAAGGAGGACGACCAAGGCCATCCAGCTCCCTGTCCGAAGTCCCACATGGCACACAGCACCCGAGGACAACGGCGCTAGACATCTGACTTGGCGGCACCGTGCCCAGTCTAATACTTTCAGGAGGCTGTCTCCCCACCTTCCCCATTTTCCATTAAAAGTCGAAGAGTGAGTTTACTAAAGAGAAAAACTGCAAACCACAAAGATGCATATTCAAAGCTCTCGTCCAGGGGGTGGCCAAGCTGCCCTGTGCCCAAAATGGTGGTGAGCTGGCCCACCTGGGGCTCTCCGTGCTGAGTGGGCCCCACGCCCCATGAGCCCAGCAGTCTGCGCCAGGGGGCCGCCCAGAGAGGCCACTGCTCTCCTGGAGGGGCATGAGGTTGGGCTTCCCCCCGGGCTCCCCCTGCGCGGCCCCCCTGACGGTTGTGGGGGAGGCATGCAGCCCCGTAGCCCAGGGACCAGGAGCCTGGATGCACAGCAGCTTGCTCCCCAGGGTCAAGTCTCCTCCTGCTGGCACCATCCTGACCGGCACAGGACAGACGAAAAGAGTCAGGGCACCACAGTGTTTGCAAAATCATTCCCAATTTCCCCAGATTATTTAATTGTGCAAAATCTGTGTGTCAAAGGTCATGCCTAATTTCAACTAACATTTACAACTGTGGAAACTGTGATATCCCTGACCCTCCTGGTAAGTAGCACGCAACAGCTTCCTGGGCACGCCCCAGCCATGCACGCACACGCACACACACGCACGCACTGCTGGCCCGCCATCCCTGGGAGGGTACATGCAGAAGGAACTTCTCGCAGGGCTGCCTCGCAGGGGCCCGGGGGCTGGGGGACAAGGAAGGTCAGTTAGTGCTAATTGCATGCTCTTCAGACGTTTTGTATTTTCTAGCACACAGATTTCTTTCCTTTTTTTTTTCCACAAAAGAAAGGCTGAGTAGCTTGTCCAGGTCAACAGCTAGAATGTCCATGGAGCTGGACTGCAAACCCATGTCCTCCGGCTCTGAGTCCGCCCCGACCCTCTAGGCCACCAGCCCCTCTGGCCCGTGCACGCACCTGTGGGCCCATCACCACCCAAGTGGCCAACCCCTGCTCTGAGCGCTCCTGATGAGAAATAACCCTTCGATGTGCCCCTCCAGATTTATGTGCTTAAGGTGAACTTGTAGAACTGGAACTGCTTACTTAAGGAGAAAATAAACAACAGATGCTGACACAGCAATCAGAATGGGTTTTAATTTAATATGCACAAGACTCTGGTCCAGATGATGACGCTCCGCTCACACTGTGGGTGAGTCAGGGCTCCCACATTCCCTTGTTATTTACTGCCTAGTGCAGGGTCGGCAAACTACGGCCCGCAGACCAAATCCGGCTGACGACTGTTCTGTACAAACAAGTTCGCCAGGGCTCGTCCCGCTGCTTGCCTGCACTCCGCCCGGGCAGAACTGCGTCCTTGTGACGGAGGGGGCGGGGCCTGCAAAGCTCAGCTATTTATTCTCTGGCTCGTCTTAAAAAACCATGCTGTCCGCTGCCCTAAGAGAAAGTGACCACGGCGACGAGGGGACCAGGGGACAAGTGAGCCAGGCAGCTCCAGGGGAGGCTTCAGAGGCGGCAGAAACAGGTACCTTTTGTATGCAAAGGTGGTACAAGCCGGGCTGGGATCTGTGCCGTGAGGAGGTGACACTCGAGGCTGCTCCCAGCCGCTTCGCTCTCGCACACAGCGGGGACGCTCCACAGAGCTTCACGTGCCGGGGGCTTGGACAGACCCAGCTGAGAGTACATTACACACATTCACTCATTCTCCTGGGCAAAAACTCTGAGTTCCTCTACACATGAAGCCCACTGTGTCCTAGTGGTCTTGAGGGGCATGGATAAATCCCATCTTCTCTAACCTCATGAAATACAGAGTATGTAAGGCTAGTCAGAAAGCGGAGGCGCTGGAGGATGGAGAAACCGGGCCTGACCCACAAGACCAGAGGCTTCAGGTACAGACAGGACGTGGTCAGCAGAGAGGAGGAAACGGCTTAGAGGGCAGGCCGGGCAGTGAGGGCGACAAGACAGTGCAGAGCACGGCCTGCAGCCCACCTGGACCCCAGCAGCCCTGGCTGCAGCTCTGCTGCTGGGGACGGGCCACGTGAGGGCCACCAGACCAACCCACGCCACGTACCGGCCACAGCTTCCCCGACCACGGACACTGGACAAACAGGTCAGGCTAGCTAGCATCTGTGGGTGGAGAGCTAGAGGGCCGTGGGCAGAAAAAGAGGCCTGTCAAACTGACGAGGACGCACCTGGTCTGTGGCTGTACACGACCCTGCACGTGTCGGGTGATGTCACGGAGGCGGGCAGAGGACCCCAGAGGAAAGAGCATTCCTGGGGGCTGCTGGGTGCTCCCCTAGGGCTGAGGGACTGAGCTCCCAGCAGCCAGGGCTCACCGCACACCCGGGTACCTGGCTAACCCTTCCCTACAAGTCAGGCTGCTCAAGACTCACCAGAAAGCTAAGATACCAGGCCCCAAAGGCTTAAGCTGATTTCCACGTATCTTAGCTGCCTGCCAGAGTACACACTCTAACGCTCCTCAAAGGAACGAAACAAGATCAAGTACACAAAAACAGAGACCTCACAATGGACAGTGACCACTGTAAAGTCTCCAGCCCTGGAAAGAGAAAAATGTAACCCGTATCCAGGGGAGAAGAGATCAAGCCGACTCGGAGGTAACGAAGATGATGAATTAGAAAATAAGACCGCTGAGACAGCTATTATAAAAAGATTCAGTATGCTCAGGGAATTAAGTGAAAAGTGAAACTAATAAGAAAACCAGAGGGCGCCTGGGTGGCTCAGTTGGTTGGGCGACTGCCTTCGGCTCAGGTCGTGATCCTGGAGTCCCGGGATCGAGTCCCGTGTCGGGCTCCCTGCTCGGCAGGGAGTCTGCTTCTCCCTCTGACCC